CCTCCCACTTCAGCCTCCCAAAGTGCTGGGATTAGAGGTGTCAGCTACTACACCCAGCCCCTAATTTAGCCTTACTTCCTTTCTTTTTCTTTCTTTCTTTCTCTCTCTCTTTCCTGTCTCTTTCCCTCCCTCCCTCCCTTTCTCCCTCCAGCTCTCTTTCTTTCTTTCTTTCTTTCCTTTCTCTCTTTCCTTTCTTTCTTTCTTTCTTTCTTTCATTGGTCTCTCATTCTGTTACCCAGGCCGGAGTACATTGGCATGATTATGGCTTACTGCAACCTCGAATTCCTGGGCTCAAGCAATCCTCCCACCTCAGCTGGGACTTCAGGCATGCATCACCATGCCCAGCTGTTTTTAAATTTTTTTTATTTTTTTAGAGAAGGGGTCTCATTTTGTTACCCAGGCTGGTCTTGAACTCCTGGCCTCTAGCGATCCTCTCTCCTCAGCCTCCCAAATTGCTGAGATTATAGGTGTGCCCTTAAGACTAAGCTCAGACACTTAATTCCTCAAAGGAGTCTGTATTTTGTGATTTAAAATGCCCATAGAATGATCTAATATCTTAGATTGAGCAGAAAAAATCTTTGAGTCCTCATAATTGTTATCTAAGGCAGGAAAGAGATTTCCTCATGGAATACATTTTGAAGGAGCAGCAGGTAACAAAAATAAAGTTGCTTTCTAGTCACATCCCATGAGCAGTGCTGGACCAACAAATAGATTTGGTGGTTAATGGTGAGCGTCAGGCCTCCTAAGACTAACCTAATTTACAGGGTTCCTTACTATGGGCCCAGTGGGAGCAGAGCCATCCGGGAGGAGCAGGGGGAGCCCAACTCATTCTGTGGGAGGGGTTGCTTCAACAGACTTTGGATTGAGGTAAAGGCTGAATTTAAAAAGACATCTTTCAGTAAGATGATACATTTGCAGACAGAAGTATTACCCGTGTTGAGAATTTATGGGACAGATTCCTACTCTCATTTGGTTTTTTGTTGTCATTATTGTGGTTTGGTTTGGTTTTGAAACAGGGTCTCACTCTGTTGCTAAGGCTCGAGTGCAGGGGCACAATCACTGCTCACCGCAGCCTTGACCTCCCCAAGTTCAGGTGATCCTCCTGCCCCAGCCTACTGAGTAGCTGGGACTACAGGCTTGCACCACCACACTCAGCTAATTTTTGTATTTTTTGTAACGACAGGGTTTGCCATGTTGCCCAGGCTGGTCTTGAACTCCTGGACCCAAGCGATCCACTCATCTCAGCCTCCCAAAGTGCTGGGATTACAGGCGTGAGCCACCATGCCTGGCCCCCACTCTCATTTGTGATTTGTGAAGAATTTTCTCCCAGCTGGTCATATGACTCATGAAGGATGAGAATTTTATCCCAGAGTCTCCTCGAGAAGCCCACACTCGAATCTACCACACTAACCACATTTCATCCTGTGATGTTTCAGAAGGAATTAGAATGAGTTATAGCCACGCTTGTGGGCAGACAGTGGGTCCAGGTTACAGAATCTGACCCCAGTGACAAATACAGCTCCTTAGGGATTTTTTTTTTTAATTTTTAATTTTTAGGTTTTTGTAGAGTTGGGGTCTCACTATGTTGCCTAGGTTGATCTCAAACTCCTGGCATCAAATGATCCTCCCAACTTGGCCTCCCAAAGTGCTGGGATGACAGGCATGAGCCACCATGCCCAGCCCTCCTTAGGGATCTTGATAAGAGATGCTAATGGAAAACTGAATTAAGGTCCAACATACTTATATATTCTGCCAGGTTCCTTGAAGCTCCAGAAATCTCTGATTCTGTGTCTTCTTGGCTGCAGCACAGTCTAAGAGTCAGAATTTTTTTGTCATTCTCCAGGCAGTGTGATGTTTGCACTGTGTGTGTGTGTGTGTGTGTGTCTGTTCTGTGAGCTGCCATGGCCACAGGCTGCAGCTGGTGTTGACCGTGCAGAAGCGCTGAGTCACTGGCTGTTTAGCTACCCTTACATCACGTTCCATTGTCCTTTCTTCCTTTCTAGGCTTTGAGAGCCCTTTCAGTGTTATTATTTTGTTTTGTTTTTGCCTGGGGCCTCTGCCTGGTAGGAAATCAGGGTGTAAAAACTGAGAGGCTGCTGGGGCTCCTGAACAAAGCTGTGCAGAGGACAATGGGTCCCTGCAGGCCGCTGAGGAAACCCAGCAACCCAGATTCACATGCTGGATGGAAGCACACGAAGGCCCTGGGGCCTCAGGGTGGGCTCTGGCTCACATTTTTCTGCAGCTCTCCCTGCTGTGCTGGTTTCAATTGGAGCTGATGAGTTTAAAAATCTCTTTATACATTCTGAATCCAAAGTTCTTCATGCCCTTTTTAGCACAAGTGTAACAGGTGGTGCTAATTATCGGTGTGACATAAATTCTTGGAGAGGTAATCTCTGGAGATGGCTATACAGATTTCTTTAAATGACTATTTTGACCCAACAAGCTTCTCACTTTATTACAGGTTTTTTTTGTTATTAAAAATACCTATTTATTTCGAAAACATTGCAGGAAAACCAAAACATCAAAAGGATGAACCAAAGGTTATTCATATTCCACCACCCAGAGATGATATTTTCCATCCTTTACATCCTTCTGTCTGTTGAAGAACCAGTCTGGGACCTTGTACTGGCACGGATCCTGCATAGTGATGATCACATGTTCCACCTTATCCTACTGAGTTCTCCCGCCCTCTTGGTGAGGTCAGAGTTTGCTTTCCTCAACACCACATTAGCATATCTTCAACCCACAGCCGATGTTGGTGCTGAGTACTCGCAAAATATGCTGGAACTTTTCAGGGGTCACTAGAGACGTGGTGGCAGCACAAGCGGCAGTGTGTAGGTCTCCTGTGGAGGAGAATCTCTGCTTTTTTTTTAATGCTTTCTGGGAAGCCCTAGGACCAGATAAGATCTATCTGGACCAGTAGTTCTCAATCTTGAGCTCACATCAGAATCTCCTGGAAGGCTTGTCAAAGGAGATTGCTGGGCTTTACCCCTGGAGTTTCAGTAGGGCTGGGGTGGTGGACAAGTTTCCAGGCGAACGTTGTTCATGTTGGTTCACTACTGAGAACCGCTGATCTGGGGGAACAGATGAACAATTAGCTTCCTCCAAGCCTCTCCCAGTGTTCCTTGGCTACTTGTCTTTTTCCCTTAGAGCATTTATTTTTTCTCCAAATTCTTTGCTTGTAACCACTCCCTATGCTGTCTTCTCATGGTGTCACTCATGCATACACAGGACAGAAATGTTTTCTTAATGGAGGGCTGGAATTCAAAGGCTTCGAGAAGGCCCCCAGTACCTGTGAGAGCAGAAGCCAGGCTGATGTGTCCTTCTTTGTCACTGCAGCACAGTCTCCTGAAGAGCTAGCTCAAAAGGAAATGCACAGATGCCCGGACTATTTGTTAAAGGAAATGACACATTATCCTCTTCCCAGCATCTGGTCATTCCTGAAACACAGTCAAGTCCCGATAATACTGTTGACTCACTAGAAGCCTGTGTCTTCTCTCCAGAGGGTGGTGGAGACCAACAAAGAGGATAGAATCTATTTTTGTGTTGGCCTAAGGGGACGCCTTGAGGAGGGGGAAAGGGTCACCCACATTGCTATTCTGTTCTGGGAGCCAGGAATGCAGACTTCCTTCCTGTTCAGCCCTGAGCAACAGCCTCTTTCTTTCTTAAGTCTCCAATCTTCCACAGAGAGCTGGGAAGATTTTAAAACGTCATGGTGGACTGGAGTGGCTGGACACCAGCACAGATGGACTGGTTAAACGGGAAGAGGAGATTTGGCAGGATGCAGGGTGTTGAGGTTCGGCAAAGGCAAGAGAGCTGTGTTGTGTTGAATAACTGTCACACTGTGAGTCAGGGCTCGGAGGGACTCTGGCTGCCTCTTGACTGGGAAATGAATTCTTTTTTTTTCATCTCTAAGGCATCTTCTAGGGGCTAAACATGGAGAAAAATAAGAGGGGTGTGAGTAGGGTGCCTGGTTAATTAACCTGGAGGACTTGCCCACGTTGACTTTGCACAAGTAAGGAGAAGTAATTTCCTGAAATCTACCTGGAGATCCAAGGGGAGCGCCCCCCGCACCCCCCCCCATCTCAACCAGTGGAGTAAGCGAAGTTAAGTTCTGACAGAAGGAAGTCTTGTTTTCATGAAACTAATAGAGGGCCTTTGGACTAGGGAGGAGAAAGGGAGGGGGGAAGGGCACTTCTGCCTTCAGATCTAAGGGCATTTATTGTGCCAGTCCTTTGTTTTGTTCCAGCCAGGGCACTCTGGTGAAGGCATCCTGGGAATTTGGCCTGCAAACAGAAAGGGCATTTCCTTGTGTGGGTTTCCTGTTTAGGTCTGCGTAGAAACGCAAAGGATCACTTGGCCTCATAAATCCTCTAGACATTGCTAGTGTAGATGCTCTGGCCAGATGCCATGGGAAAATCGCACAGAAATAGAAGAAGGGAGGAAAACACATTTACTCTCAGGATGCTGAGTGGGTTTCAGGCTCCCTGACTTCAGATCTATAAATAGAGGGGGTTGGGCTAGAGGGGATGATTATTCAGGTCCCCTCTAGCTTTGACAATCTCAGGTTCCATTTCCCTCTCAAGGGTCATTGGGAGCTGTTACTGTGCAGCTCAGGCATGGTGAGCCATGCCAGAGCAGCACACCGAACAGAAGAAGCATGAAAAAAATTTCAACTGAAAAATTAGCAAGTTGCCCTAGAATATCCTTTAGGCTCCTTCACAGAAAGAAGGTGCTTTTGAACTCTGGTATTTCCCAGACTTTCCTAGACGCTTAGCATATTCCAAAAATGACAGCTACCAGGGTCTGGAGTATTGTGGAGTCTCACAGGTGGGTTTTGGCACAAAGCAAGTTTGCAGAGTCGGCAGTGAATAAGGTGTTTATTAGGAGACATCAAACTGTTTCTTCAATAATGAAGTGGGTGGAAGGAGTGTGATAGGAAGTTCTAAGCTTTCTGAGTCAGTGCTCCTTAGAACACTCATTCTGAGAAATATGCTTTAAAAGGGAGTTCTGAGTTCCAGTCCTGCAGGGAGCGCCGGGAGGCGCAGAGCGCAGCGAGCTCCCCAGGGCCCTCCAAGCCCTCCGGCCCCTGTCCTGCGAGTGAGCCGGGGGGGCCCCTGGACAGGCCATGCCCTCTGCCCTTCAGACACGGAGGCCTCCGCTGTGGCTGCCCACTGGCCAGGCACAGGCCTTGAAGCCGTGGCGAACCTCTCTACCCGACCCCACTTCGGTGACTGATGGCGGCGGCGGTTTCTCCCAGCCCGTACCCCAGCCTAGACCTTGATGGCCACTGGGTCTCCCGGCCCAGGCCTCGATGAAGCTCCAGCTGAGCTGCCGGGATGCAACGCCTTTGGTAGGCGGCGGGAGTGGCGGGCCAGGAAACATGGCGGCCGCTTGACTGCTGCGCAGCGGAGGCTGTTAGGTCATGGAGGGCCTGGGAAGGCGGCCTAAGGACGCAGGCAGGCTTGGCCGCCTCTTTAGGCCACGGAGCCTTGCAGGTCCGGGTCCCCAGTGACCACTCTGTCCCCATTGGGCGAGACCTACCTAGTCCTGACGACAACGGACAAAGGCCTAAACAGGCCTGGGAGGTGAGCGAAGTTCCGAACGGTTAGCGGCCATCGGGGGGTTAGTCTGCATTCTACCAGACCTTGCTGACCTTGCTGTCGGAAGAGAGAAATGGTAGAATGACAGGCCACTTTTGGCCCGTTGGAAATGCCCGCCACCCTCTGAGAAGATTTACTGGCCGTTTATGGAAGGCCTGTGTATATAATATGAAAAAGCTGCTCTCAACTCCACCCCGATCTTTTAATAGAAAACATTTGTCACATCTAGCCCTTCTAGATGTAACGAGGTTGCCCACATGTGATAAAGTAGACTTAGGAAACCACACATCTTGTAAATTCTCATTTGTTTAAAAGAAATCGTAGAAAATACATGTCTTCTGTAAATGACTTTTGGAAACGGAGTTGTTAGATGGCCTCTGGAAGCGGTAAGTCCGTTTGTTCAGTGGGTTAGATGACATGGAGCTGGAAGACCTGAGAAGGAGGAGCAGGTTCTATGCTGGACTGCTCATATTTAGAAGACATTTTCGTATTCTAGCCCTTGTTTTGTGCGCATTTTATTCCTCACTACTCTATATATAGTGGACAATGCTACACTTTTTTGAAACGTCTGTTCTTTTTAGATGTTCTGAAGTGCCTGATGTTAAAATTAGAGGTAGGAAAATCACATTTCGTAGATATCTTTTTGTTACAACTTGTAGGAAATGTTTTTTGGGGGGAATGGCCAAATCACCTGTTGAGTAATACTCACCGTGTGTGCAGTGGTTCAGGGGAGGAGGAGGAAAGGGGAGGTGCAGACAGTTCTATGCCACCCTGCTTACAGCAAGGCAAGATGAATTATTATCTCTGTGCATATAGTGTACATAAAGGACAAACGAGGCCTAACTTTAACAACATCTAGTCTCTTTAGATGTTAAAGAGGTTGCCAGTGTATGACAGAAGTAGAGTTAGTAACCTAATGTTCTGTACATTTTGTTTACAAGTCTAGGAAAGATTGTCTTCTGAAAATTTGAGCATTCTTGCCCACTGGGTTGATGGAGATGGGAAGGGTTCTAGGCCAGAATGTTCACATTCGGAAGGCTCTTTCAAATGATAACTGTTGTTACATGTTTGCAGTTTATTCAAGACTGCTGTGTATATAGTGGACAAATTACCTCCTTTCTTGAAACATCTAGTCTATCTAGGTGTTTAGAAGTGCCGGATGTATGTTAAATGTTGAGGTAGTAAAATACCACTTTGTAAATATCTTTTTGCTAAAATTCACAGGAAATACTTTTGGAAATTGAATTGTGAAGCCACCTTTGTCAGCAGTATAGTACTGTCTATACTTGTTCAATGGTTTAGAGGAGGTGAGAGGGAAGAAATTGGAAAAGATAATATTCTAGTGTGTTCACACTTGGACAATTCAGACACTATTTTTCTGTGGGTTTTGTGCATTTTCTTTTGCTCTGTATATAGTGTATATAATGGACAATGAGTCCTAATTTTTCAACATTTAGTCTCTAGATGTTAAAGAGGTTGACAGTGTTTGACAAACTATTTAGTAAAATCAGCATATTTTGTACTCTTTGTGATAAAATTCATAGGAAAACTCGTCTTCTGTAAATGACTTTTGCACTAGAATTTGTTCAATCACCTCTAAGCATTACGCATGCCTGTTACTTGTCCACTGGATTGAAGGCAGAGAAGAAAGAGAGGAGGGAATGATTCAAGGCCAAAATGGTCACATTTAGAAGATACCTCAGATGATAACCATTGTTATGTGTGTGCAATTTTAGTTAACAGTGCTGTGTACGTGTGGACAAGTTACATGAAATATCTAGTCTTTCTAGATATTTGGAAGTGCTTGGTGTATTTAAAAGTAGTAGTAGAATAACACTTTTTGTAAATAGCTTTTAAAACGTGTTGGGAAATGCTGTTGGGAAGAGGAATTGTGGAACCACCTGGGAGGTGGGAGGGAAGAAATTGCAAAAGGTGTTTTGCCATTGTTGATTAGAAAATTTCAGCTGCTTTCCAAGATGGCGCGCACGCTGAAGGCGGAGGCCACGAATTCTGGCTTTTTTCCAGACTCCATGCTCCAGTTCGAACAGTAAGAGCTTTTTCCACGTCACAGCCCTTGGATCAAGTGGCAGGTCCTGTGTGGAACCTGGGTCAATTCAATCATGTAGCCATAGCAGTGCCAGATTTGGAAAAGGCCGCAGCATTTTATAAGAATATTTTGGGGGCCCAGGTAAGTGAAGCAGTTTCTCTTCCTGAACGTGGAATATCTGTTGTTTTTGTCAATCTGGGAAATACCAAGATGGAACTGCTTCATCCATTGCGAAGTGAGAGTCCAAATGCAGGTTTTCTGCAGAAAAACAAGGCTGGAGGAATACATCGCATCTGCATCGAGGTGGATAACATAAATGCAGCTGTGATGGATTTGAAAAAAAACAAGATCCGTAGTCTACGTGAAGAGGTCAAAATAGGAGCACATGGAAAACCAGTGATTTTTCTCCATCCTAAAGACTGTGGTGGAGTCCTTGTGGAACTGGAGCAAGCTTGAGTTATATTTGTAAGAAACAAAATGTACCGACCTGAAAAAGCCTTTTCAAATACTATTGAAATGTACTATGACAAATATTATTTGTTAATTTGAATTTGAAGAAAACCTTCATTACAAATTAGTTAGGGAATATTATTAAAATCATATAGAAATAAATTATTCCTTTTTTACAATAAAAAAAAGAAAGAAAATTTCAGGTTAATCCATTGCTTATGTGTTACATGCATTTCATTGAACTTTGCTATACTGTATATATTATGTATATACTGGACAAATGAGTCCCAATTTTATAATATCTAGTCTCTAGGTATTAAAGAGATTGCCACTATATGATAGCAGTAGAGTTAGTAAACTAACACATCCTGTACACTTTGTTAAAATTCATAGAAAGGCTGTCTTCTGAGAAAGACTTCTGGAAGTGAAGTAACATCAGCTCTAAGTGACACATGTGCCTGTATCCACCAGGTTGTTGGTGGTGAAGAGTTGGAAGGAATGAGGAGTTGTAGACCAGAATGTTCCTATTTAGAAGACATTTTCAGATATAACCATTGTTACATGTGTGTAGTTTATTCAACACTACTGTGTGTATAGTGGACAAACTTAAGTCCTAATTTGAAACATCTAGTCTTTCTAGGTGGTTGGAAGTGCACAAAGTATGTTAAAAGTAGAGGTAGTAAATAACAAACACATTTTGTAGCTATCCTTTTGATAGATCATCTTTTGGAAATTGATTGATTCTCTGAGCAGTACATTATGATATTTGTAAAGGTTCAGGGAGAAGGAGGAGTGTAAAGGGCTTTCCACCAGTGTGTTTATGATGAGGCACATTGATCATTATCCCTTATGTCTGCATTTTCATTAACTGTGCTGTGTATATAAGTGGACATAAGAGCTCTAATTTACATCTAGTCGATGTTAAAGAAGTATGACAGAAGTAGAGTTAGTAAATTCAATACATTGAGTATATCTTGTGTATGATTTTTAGATCATAAGGAAGACTTGCAAAAAACAGAAGTGAAATTGTTAAAATACCCCATAAGCTGTCCATGGGGTTGGCAGAGGTCGGGAAGGGAAGTAGGTTCTAGGTCAGAATGTTCCTTTTTAGAAGACACTCAAATTACAGTCTGTGTTATGTATATACACCATTTATTCAATGCTACTCTGTATATAATGGAAAACTTAAGTCCAGTTGGTAATATCTAGTCTTTCTAGGTGTTTAAAAGTGCACAGCATAGGTTAAAAGAAGAGGGCTAAAGTAACACCCCTCTAAGCATTTGTTTTCATTATTTCCTTAGGAGTGGTTGGCTGCATTTGGGAATGGAATTGTTAAAATTTGATGCTTAGGAGCCTATGCTGACTATTTATTGGGTGGTGATGGGTTGGGGAGGAGGAGGTATGCAGGGAGAAGGGTTCTGTGCCCCTGAGATTAGTTCAGCTGGTCTAACCATTGTTCTATATGTGCATTCTAGTTGATATTATGTATTAAAGGATAAACAAGTCAATGCTCAGAGTATGTTCAAAATAGATAGAGTAAAGCAGACCCTTTATGAATGTCCTTTTGTTAGTTTTTAAGAAGGCCTGTCTTCTGGGAGTGACCTTTACCTCTTGGAGCCAGACATCCTATACTTAAGTCACTGGGGATGGTGGAAGAGGAAGAAGACAGGGTGAAGGGAAGGGCTCTTTGCTAGTATCTCCATATTTAAAAGATGGTTTTAGATGATAACCACAGGTCTGTATAAGTGTTTTTAGTAAAGTGCCTGTGTTTATTGTGGACAAAGTTCATTATTTTGCAACATCTAAGCTTTATGAATGTCTGGGGTGACAACATAGAGCTAGTGAATTAGCCAATTTGTAAATACCTTTGTTGTAATTGATAGAAAAGATGCATCTTGGACATGGACTTGTTAAACCACCTCTGAGCAGTGTATGTCAGGACTTGTTCATTAGTTGGCAGCAGAGGGGCAGAAGGAACTATAAAGGGAGAGATGTATGCAGATGTGTCCATATTTACATTTTGAAGATAGCCATTAATGTATGCATCTCTTGTGGCTGTACTATAGAAATATATTAAATAATTCAATGGAAATATCCTTGCTAATATTTTAATGATATAGATCTGCTAATGAGCTCTCTTAGAAGCATTATAGTTAGTGTATTCTGTTGCTATATGCTTCATTTTAAATTGAGCATTAAGGGAATGCAGTATTTAAATCAGAACTCTGCCAATGCTTTTATCTAGAGGCGTGTTGCCATTTTTGTCTTCTGTGAAACTTTTGTCCCAAGAAAGACAGGATTACTTTTTTTTTTTTAACAGACTGAGTTGGTGTAGTGTATTGTTGGTTATCAAAATGCTCATATAGCTTTGGGATTTTGAATCGATAAATATTCATGAAGTGTGAAAAATCATGGTACATACCATACAATCTCAGTCCCATAAAATTGGATGTTGTGCCTGCAGATGCACAGGGCCTAGAACAATGTGTCCAACTGTAAACTGCTTGTGATTGTGACTGTTCTTTGCTTCTTGTATTTTTCAGTTTCGTCTAATGTACTTAACTTTTTAAAAGTCAAGATTATTTTAAAAACAAAACAAAAAAAGGGGAGTTCTGTGGTCATACAGGGGTTGGGAAATGCATGTTTGCACTCTGCTGTGTTAAAAGCTCTGAAAATTCATGCAGTAAAGAAACATGTTAGCTGAGTGTGGTAGCATGTGCCTGTAATCCCAGCTACTTGGGAGACTGAGGCAGGAGAATTGCTTGAACCCAGGAGGCGGAAGTTTGAATGAGCTGGGATCCAGCCTGGGTGACAGAGCAAGACCCCATCTCAAAAAAAAAAAAGGAAATGAAAAAGAAACATGTTTGACTTTACCTCAGCATTTTCCAAACTTATCTGATTAAGAAAATATATTTTTATATTATGTGTATAGCAGGTATAACAAACGGGGAAATAAGTGTTCTGTGTGACACTTTGAGAAATGCTTCCTGCTGAAAAACAGAGTTTACTGTCCTAGATTTAGTACTAGGGATAAATTATGTATTTATATTATATAATATGAATATTTGTAATATATATGTTATATATTATAAGGTATAACTCTTTATAGTATAGTATATATTATATAACAAATATTCTATTGCATGTAATATTTATAGAAAATATAAATATATTCTTGCAACAGCTGGGGCTGCAAAAAAAAATAAAGTATAAATATATTTATAGTGATAATATAAATATATATAAATGTTTAAAATATATATTTATATTATAGCATAATATTAAACATATAATTCTATATTACATCATATATAATTATGTATTTTATATAATATAATATATAATTATAATTTTGTTTACTTATTTATTTATTTTTTGACACACTCTTGCTCTGTCACCCAGGCTGGAGTGCACTGGCAGGATCTCTGCTCACTGCAACCTTCATCTCCAGGGTTCATGCAATCCTCCTGCCTCAGCCTCCTGAGTAGCTGAAACTACAGTTTCCCACCACCATACCCAGTTAATTTTTTTGTATTTTTAGTAGAGACAGGGTTTTACCATGTTGCCCAGGCTGGTCTCAAACTCTTGACCTTAAGTGATCTCCTGCCTCAGCCTCCCAAAGTGTTGGGATTACAGGCATGAGCAACCGTGCCCAGCCTATAATTATAATTTATATTTATAATTTATATTCATATTTATATATTAATATTACATTATATATAATAAAGTGGAGGAAGATATATGACATATGATAAACATTTCCATTCCATTTTCATATATACATACTGTGTATATGATATGGTTTGGGTCTGTGTCCCCACCCAAATCCCATGTTCAATTGTAATCCTCCATGTTGGAGGTGGGCCTGGTGGAAGGTGTTTAAATCATGGGAGCAAATTTCTCATGAATGACTTAGTACCGTCCTCTTGGTACTGTCCTTGCAATAATGAGAGACTTTTTTGCAGGATCTGGTCATTAAAGGTGTGAAGCACCTCCCCACTCTCTCTCTCTTGCTCCTGCTGTGGCTATGTGAAGTGCCTGCTTCCTCTTCACCTTCTGCCATGATTGTAAGTTTCCTGAAGACTCTCCAGAAGTTGAGAAGATGCCAGCATCATGCTTCCTGTACAGCCCGCAGAATTGTGAGCTAATTAAACCTCCTTTTCTTTATCAGTCACTGGGTCTCAGGTATTTATAGCAATGCCAAAACAGCCTAACACAATGTGTGTATACTGTATGTGTGTGCATGTCAGTCATATACTGGAAATGTTGCTGCTCTTTTCAGAATTTTAATTGGCAATAGACTAGGATAAACATAGGGATGAGGCCGGGTGCGGTGGCTCACGCCTATAATCCCAGCACTTTGGGAGGCCGAGGTGGGTGGATCACGAGGTCAAGAGATCGAGACCATCCTGGTCAACAAGGTGAAACCCCGTCTCTACTAAAAATACAAAAATTAGCTGGGCATGGTGGTGTGTGCCTGTAGTCCCAGCTACTCGGGAGGCTGAGGCAGGAGAATTGCTTGAACCCAGGAGGCGGAAGTTGCGGTGAGCCTAGATCCTGCCGTTGCACTCCAGCCTGGGTAACAAGAGCGAAACTCTGTCTCAAAAAAAAAATAGCTATGAAAAGATTTTTATAGAAAAAATACTAGAAACACGTCATTTCAATTGTGGCTATTGGTGTTTGATAGATGACAGGTGGTTCTTTATTTCTTTCTATTTTTGTTTCCCACAGATCTTCCACAATGAACATGAATTATTTCTGTTAGAGGCAGAAACAAAGTAAATTTTCATTTTTGAAAAGAGTCCATGTACAAGGTTCTTTTCATTTGGTCTTCATAAGGAGAAGCCATCAGATGCATTCTCCCACTTCCTAGTCATTGATCTGAGTTTGCTTTGGGTTCTATGGTACCCACCTTCTAAGGTCCTATATGGCTATTTCTGGAGCACACACAGCTTTTTCAGTATTAAGAGAAAGTAAAGCAATTACCACATAGTGGGAGGATCAGTAAGAGAGCAGGAAATGGCCTCATCAAGTCCGCCAAACTCAGTTGTTCCTGGACTGTGTGTTCAAGAAGAAACAGTTGGTCTACCAGCCAGAATTCTTGGTTGCCACCAAAAGAAATCTCAGTTGGAAAGTGGATTCATTGGGAAAGTATCATATGGTTCAAGAAATCAGTGCAAGGCAGGAGAACCAGGTGATGAAACTGGATAAAAATCAAGGGAGGGCTCATGAACTAGCACCGTGAGAGGCCAAGGCAGAAGGATGACTGGAGCTCAGGAGTTGAAGACCAGCCTGGGCAACACAGAGGGACCTCATCAATTCAAAAAAATTACTAAATTGACCAGGCATGATGGCACATGTCTGTAGTCCCAACTACTTGGGTGGCTGAGGTAGGACAATTGTTTAAGCCCCAGGTCGAGGCTATAGTGAGCTATGATCACACCACTGCACTCCAGGCTGGGTGACAGAGTGAGACTATTTGGGGAAAAAAAAAAGTCAAGGGCGGCAAGGCACAGGGATAGTCTACTTGGGATGCTGCCACTGGTGTTGTCACTGCTGAGCACTTGGCATCACCCTGCTGGGCTCTGGCACCCCTGAACACTCACTCACTGCTGAGCTGCTGGACACTCAACTCCAGCACAGACACTGCCAAAAAATTCTGCCTTCCCACAGGCTTCCTGTCCTCCTGGGGCCACTGATCAGCTGAACCCAGGTAATATGCTGTTTTTCTCTCTTTGCTGGGGCAAAGAGAGAAACCCTCTGCCCTCTTTGGCTTCTGAAGTAGGAAATGGAGTCCTGCCCCCTTTTTTGGGTGCTTCCTTCCAAAGGGAAAAGATGTTTAAAGGCTGGGTAGCCAGAATGACCAATAAGCATAACATTTAGGGATTTGGTAAAGGGGCTGCTAGGATCTTGGAGAGGCCGGGAAAAAGTGGCCAGCCATGCTTGGAAGTGATCGCCTTTGCCCAGGGCCACATGCAGTGTGATTTTCTTTCTACTGGGAATCCTGAGATGGGAAAGGTTCTCCCAGATTTCTTGATCAGTTGGTTGAAAGTCTGCCCTTCAGAAGAACTGACCTCTTTGCATAAAAACCATACTAAATAACAAAATAAGAATGACCATTTTTTAAGAAACCTGGGGACAGACAAAGGATGCCCACCTGACCATAAGGGCTGGGGTTTCTCAGTCACTCTGTCAGCCACATGGATTGTCTGTTGGACCCTGACCAGGGAAAATGAAGGGGAAACAGAGCACTTAATGGATTGTTTTCTTCTCTGAAGAACTTACAGTTTAGGGAAACAGATTAAATAGACTGATACCATCTTAGAGAAGGGCCCTATAAGTGCAGGGAATGAGAAAGGAGTGAAAAATGTAAACATGGATTTTTTATTGACTTCCTTATTTGGGAACATATCTTTCTGCTTGCAAATGTCCAAATGTTGGGGCTGAGTCCAGAGACTAAAAGATGAAATCCAAGTAGAGTCAGGGTGGCTATGTCTGCTGTCCGATTCTTAGACGCCAGGCACATACCCAAAACTGGACTGTGTGGGGGAAAACTGGTGAGGTTAACTGCAACAGAGTTTGAAGTCTTTCAAGTAGAACTGGACATCAATGACTAAGAAATGAGAGGCTGGGTGCAGTGGCTCACACCTGTAATCCTAGCACTTTGGGAGGCCAAGGTGAGCGGATAACTTGAGGTTAGGAGTTGAAGACCAGCCTGGCCAACATGGTGAAACCCCATCTCTACTAAAAATACAAAAAAATAAATAAATAACCAGGCATGGTGGCAGGCGCGTGTAATCTCAGCTACTTGGGAGGCTGAGACAGGAGAATCACTTGAACCCAAGAGGTGGAGTTTGCAATGAGCTGAGATCACGCCACTGCATTCCAGCCTGGGCAACAGAGCAAGATTCCATAAAGGAAAAACAAACACAAAAACAAAACAGACAGTAGAACTAATATGGATCTGTTTACCTCTGAGTAAGTGAGGTATAATTTGAGAACCCCACAATGTTGACCTTATGTAATCTTTATATCATTATGCTTTTCTACAGTGAGTTGCTTCTTGGTTGTCAGGATATCTGCACAGCTTTATCATTGACTGGGGCCTTTTGAGGATTGTCTATACAGTAGTCCCCCCTATTGACGGTTTCACTTTCCAGAGTTATTGTTACCTCTGGTCAACGGCTGTCTAAAAGTATTAAGTGGTAGGGCATGGTGCCTCACACCTACAATCCCAGCACTTTGAGAGGCAGAGGCAGGAGGATTGCTTGAGCTCAGGAGTTCAAGACCAGCCTGGGCAATATACGGAGACCCTGTCTCTACAAATAAAAATGAAAAATAGCCAGGTGTGGTGGTGCATGCCTATAGTCCCAGCTACTCAGGAGGCTGAGGCAGGAGAAACACTTGAGCCCAGGAGTTCAAGGATGCAGTGACCCATGATCACACCACTGCACTCCAGCCTGGGTAACAGAGCAAGACCCTGTCTCAACAAACAAACAAACACCCAAAAAGATTAAGTGGAAAATTCTAGAAATGAACAGTTCATAAGTTTTAAACTTTGTGCTATTTTGAGTAGCATGATGAAATCTCAGGCTGTCCTACTCCATTTCTGCCCAGAATGCAAATCCTACCTTTGTATCTACACAAAATCATTTATCCATCTTGGTTATCAGATTAAAAAAAAATAGTATTTGTGAGGGTTGGTTCTATCTGTGGCTTCGGGCACCCACTAGCAATCTTGGAATGTATCCCTTTCAGATAAGAGGGGACTGCTGTACATTCTTTGAGAAGGCGTTTCCAAGCTTGGGTACTTAGATTCTTCAGTTGGATGAGGATCAAGAATATGCCTCCCACAAATGCAGCCAAGACAACAAACCTCGTACAAGTCTGTATAGAATGTATTCTCATGCAGTGGATCTTATTCTTCCTGGGAACACATGCTAGAAAGAGAAGAACAAATCTTTAAGAAAGTGAGAAAATACTACACTTTAGAGAGTGCAGCTACATGCAAGCACTCGGTCACCGGAACTGAATCTTTTCTAGAACCAAATTTCACTGACATAAAGTTTAATGATCAGTGTACAAGAACATCCGAGTCATGAAAATGGACGAAATGATTAAGGACTTAAAGGACCTCTTGAAATTGGAAGCCTATCCATTCCTAGGAGATTTGAGACAAACCACATGGTGTCTCTCCTGTAACCCCAGCCTTTTCCAGGGACATTGTTGAAGGAAAACGATAGACTGAGAGAATAGAGTGAAGACAGAGAGGGATGGTGGAAGGGATGCTCTTTTCCCTTCACCGTAGAGGCTGTTGATTGGGAACAGGTGGTAGGACCTGGATTGGAATTTCTAATAACCAATATAGGGATAGCATCATTTCACCTTTGGCCGTGTCCCAGGGTTAATAGACAGTGAAAGGGAAGCATAAGGTCTCACAAAAGAGCCTAATATAGCAAAACTGCTATAGAACAGGGAGGGTGGAGGCAGAGACAGGGCTGGAGCTCTTTGTGACACTTCATGTCTCAGGGCTGAGCCCAAGAGATGAGTTTGGACACCGAACAAACATCTTTGTTGTCAGTTATATTAAAACATGGTGTCTGGCTGGGCACAGTGTTGCATGCCTATAGTCCCAGCTACTTGCAAGGCTGAGGTGGGAAGATTGCTTGAGCCTGGGAGTTCAAATCTAGCCTAGGCAACAAAGTGAGACCCTGCCTTTAAAAAAAAAAAAAAGATGGTATCTGTAACCAGACGACTGTCTTTAATCCTAGCTCTAGACCTCTTACCAGCAACAGGACTTTGGAGAAATTACCTAACCTTTCTGTGCCTCTGTTTATCTGTTTATCATTCATAAAAGGGCAATAAGGATATGACCTGCCTCATAAGGTTTTCATGAATATTAAATACATTAATTCATAATGTGCTTAGCACATAAGTGTAACCAAGTAATTGCTCAATAAGCATTAGGCTTCAGTGTTATTATAGGTGGTTAGAATATGCCAGAATAAGGGTAACATTTTTCACCTACAAGGCTTGCATGGGACATCCAGGTAATCTTTCATTCAGATTAAGCTCAGAAAATGTCACAGCCATTACTTTAATCTGACTGAAGTACATGAAGCATCTCTGCAGTGGAAAT